GGTTGGAGGCCATCGAAGTTAGGTTGGAGGCCATCGCTCTTGGGTTGCTGGCCATCGCTATTAGGTTGGAGGCCATCGCTATTTGGTTGGAGGCCAATACCACCCCTCTTGGGTTCTAAGACCTGCCGCAGGCTTGGCATTTCACAGAAACATTGCCGAAATGACCGTGACCACAACAACCCCATTTGATGAACATAACGACGCACTTTTGAGTGAATATGAAGGGAAAGGTTCAAGACAGCTGAATCTAACAACTTTGCAGGTAGACCTCCAATCTTTAAGCTTCGCAAATCACCAACTAGTCAAGGTATCTCATCAAAATATGGTCATCCAAGGCAAACCAATGTGTGCATGTATCATGAACATCTTGGGTTGGTCAACTATTATTTCACCAACTTGCAATCAGGAGCCCTTCCCTCACGTCACGAACGAAAAGCAGTCCTTCCCTCTTTGAATGGATCCTACGAGTAGGACATGTCCTAAACGACGTCCTGGTGACATGTCCTGGTGCCGAACGCGTTTCACGAACGCCGCTGGACGTTGCTCGTGGACGTTGCTCAGTGGAACAGTCCCGCTCATCCACGTTCCCTTTTTCGCTTCTGGACGGTTGCTCGTCTTCACTGTGGCGATCGGAGCAAGGATGCTACTAGTAGCTTCTTGTTCCTAGTAGTATGGCCAGGAGCGCCTAGTAGCGTCCTTGCTCCTAGTAGCGATGCCCTTTGCTCCTAGTAGCGGTTTATGTCCAGGAACAAATCCCCTAAGAAACTGCCTCCTCTGGTGCTCAAATGTTTCCCATGAATTGAAAAAAAAACAGGCCCTTGCAACCATCACCAATCATAAAGTCATTGGAACAGGACATCCTGCACCAGTTCCCATTCAAAGTGCCAAATAAGGAGCGCCTAGTAGCGTCCTTGCTCCTAGTAGCGATGCCAGGAGCCCCTAGTAGCTTCTTGTTCCTAGTAATAAGGCCAGGAGCCCCTAGTAGCTTACAAACATTTAAGGATCAAATGGTTTAAACTTTAAACTCTTCAATTTCTGACCTGCTTTGCTCAATCGCAGATGTCCGTCCACACCGGTGACATACGGTACGATCTCAGTAAGACCGGTGACATACGGTGCAGCCCCCCTGGCTGAGCTGAGCATCCTATCGGGGCCCGGCAGAGAATGGCTACCTTGAGGGGTTGAGGCTCCCAGGTGGCCCTGCAGCGGCCAAAAAAGAAAGACACGAGCAACAGGCAAAACATATCCATCTGTGTTGTGGTAGCGACAGTAGTTTCGGGGGAATCATCAATGAGTCTTTTGGATCAAATCACAAATGAATGATGGGTTTTGAATGTAGGCCTCATCATTTCAACATGTCAAATACAGGATACCCTGAGTGATTGTGGCTCCTCTGTCTCTTGAGATTAGTGGTCATATAATACACTTCCAGATATACCCTTTGATGTGGCTTTATGTAAAAAAGAATTGGAGGCATTGGTCGGGCATCACTTCGTCTGTAGCAGTTTACACTCGATCTGCGTTTGCAGAAATTGCCACAAGTGCATATCTGTTCTAACACTCAAGTATCAGCTGCTTGGGCCTCTTCAACCTGGCGGGATGAACGGGATGGCACCCAAAAGGAAGAGACAAATGCTCAAACCAAGATTCTTTCAACAACTTCTATTCTAATGAACCCCCTCCAGCTTTAGCAACCCCCGGAACCAGAGCTTCTTACTACTAGTAACAAGAAGCTACTAGTAACAAAGGGCATCGCTAGTAGAAGCAAGGACGCTACGATCGTCCTGGCCTTACTACGAACGGAGCAACCAGTAGTGGTGCAACTGCTTGCCTGGAGTAGATTGAAATGCTGCAACAAACCGAAGCTTCCCAGCCAAGAACAAAGGAACACATCTTTGAAGTTGATGGAAGGAACAGGCTTTTGGATGGAAAAAAGGGCAATTGGCAGTCACGCATTTTTTGAGTAGGACGCCTTAGTCCTGCAAAGGTTGTTTGTCCTTGTTTGCGCGCTCCCCATAACACAATCACAACATCATGCTTGCAGCACAACGAACATCATCAAACTACATGATTGTACCTACTTGGGAAACCTCCTGTCCATATACCTACAGATGTCGAGAACATTTTAAGGGCATCTCCACCAACAAACACAACTAAGAGCACATGCTTCCGTCCAAACCGTCTGTCCTTTTGACAAAACAATCTGAAGAAAACCATAGAAAACCTCACGAATAATGGAGGAAAACCACCTCCCGTTTTTCGTTCACTTGGATGGTATTGGTGGGTTCGTGAGCAGCTGTTCACCTCCCATGTCTCGCGCCCGCTTTTCTGAAATGGGTGAAGAATTCCACATGATCCCTGCTTTACAGTACAGATCTGCAAGGCAATATTGATAGTCCGTGATCATGACATGTCCCCTGAAGATCCTGAAGATGTTCAAGTCAAGTCTTGGGAGCTCTTTTCTCGGGAGCTTTGCATGTCCGATTCAGCCATGCCACTCAAACCGATGTGAGATATCCCTAACCGCTGTGTCGACGTGGCAGCCGTATCCATAACTCCCAACGATCTCAGAACGACCATGGAGAACGCCGTTGTACACGACGACGTGTCGAAACCTCTCGCGCCGCGCCTGTGAAACCACTTGGACGACGCACTTTGCGGCGCGGGGCACCCGGCGCCCGGCGGCGTCATGTCCAAGGTGTCACCGGGCGGAAGAATCATAGACCTTCCGGGAAAATGAAGCTCTTCGCGCCAAGTCTTAAGTCTTAAGTCTTCGTTTTCCCGCTCTTCGCGTTGCTGGATTCGCGTCGGCAGGTCCTTTTCAGCCACGCCACTCGAACTCCGCAGCAAAAGGGGCACCTCTTTGGTCACCTCTTTGGTCAGAAAGCGGCTGGCACATGACTTAAAAGACGCAGTGATGAATGCAAACACTGAACTCTGGCAAGCCAAGCTCACGCAAGTTGCTTGGCAAGGTGACACCTTCCAAGCTCTGGTTAAATTTGTCGCCGAAGGTCAAAGTCTCCAAGCCGCTTGGCAAGGTGACACCTTCAAAGCTCTGGTTAAAGTCCCTGCCGAAGGTCAAAGTCCGCAAGCTGCTTGGCAAGGTGACAGCTTCCAAGCTCTTGTTAAAGTGATGGCCGAAGGTCAACGTCTGCAGGCTGCTTGGCCATTTAACACCTTTCAAGCTCTGGTTGAACCTTTCGCCGAAGGTCAAAGTCTGCAGGCTGCTTG